AAACACTACCAGATTGTAATAATTAATGAGAATTTATTTGCCTTTATTTTTCAAGCAGTCACTACAAGTCTCTGTGATTATAATAAATTTTATATATTTATAAGAAAAACACAAAAATATAATTTACTTAGTTATGACATTTTTATGTCACAAGCACTTCTGTTTTTTTACTATAAATGTATGAAAATAAGTTAAAGGAGATCTTAAATGGAAAGATTCTCTCAGAATTTATTTCAAACATTCTCAAATTAAAAAAAAATTATATTGATCCTGATATACAGCCCTTCTGCCAAAAATTTGTTCCACTCCATGCCTGTGACATCATTTTAGGAATTAGATAAAATAGGAATGAGAGCCAGACCAATTCAGAAAAAATAGAATTCACTATCATTTTGGATTCGCATATCATTTTGGATATGCAGCGTGGAAGCGTGCCTTTTGCTTCGGGATGAAAATATTAATTACACATTTTTTAAAAATCACAAGTGTTATGCATCTCCCTGGAGTCTAGAAAGTCTTTGGTATTTCTTAATCACCAAATCTAGGTCCGGCTGCACAGCTTTCTTTCTCATTGCTCCTGTTGCATCTGGGTAGTCTTTGCGATTTCCTCTGAAAATGACTATACATTAACGTACAAGGTTTCAGTGTGTGCCTTTGTGTGTGTGTGTGTTGGGGGGGTGGGGGTGGAAGGGAAAGGTGTTAATTCAGATGTTATGAAACTGTGATAATGCTATTATTTAAGGCACTTATTTGGGTCTGTTTATACTTTGTAGTTTTATAAATAAGCCCAAGGGGCCCCTCCCGGTTGTCACAATCCTCCTTGAATCTGAATCCGGTCTGTCTCTTCCTATCCGACAGTAGAATTGATGCGGCTCTAATCCCTGGAAGTTTGGAACTAATGAACTGACTGCTGAGCTGCCGCCACGGAGCTTGGTCCCAAACTATACTGTACTTCACACTCGATTTATTCTCCAGATGGCGAGACTGTGCCACCCCGCCGCGAGGGACCACCTCTTCCACTGGAGTGTAAAAGTGGACGGATGTTGTTTTCTTTGCAGATTTGATCATTCTGAGCTAGAAACTCGCGAGGATGATTAGTTATTAGCTTTAATGGGTGCCAATTGAACCAACTGCACGCATATTTTCTCCTTTAATTTCGGAGTCCGCAGGTCCCGGGGATGGTTGATTTACCCGCTTTCTTACGTCACGGAGCGTGCCTGTTCCCCAGGTGACAGGGACCCAGGCCCTGAAATCATAGCACGCCTTGGTTCCTGGCCCAGACACAGTCCCATAATACGGTGGCTTATGTAGAAGGACAAGTTCATTAGCCTCCGGTCCACTGCACTGAGCAGCCCTTGGCACGGAATATCGATTGAATGCGGGAACTTTGCTGGCACCCCCTTTTCCCACCAGGGCCCTGGGAAGGTTCGGACCCGGGCCAGCTTTCCCCTCCGTGGCCTCCGCAGGGCCCACCTGGAATCAGACCCGCTGCAGAGCACACGGTGCTGATGAGTCTGCAGAGACCTGATGTAACTGCTGCTGAAGGCCTTCGCTCCATTATCCCCACCTTTCCAGGTTGTCAGTTCTTGGGGGAACAAGTTCATCCCACACGAGAAGCACTCACCAAAGCCATCCTGTCGTGTTAGCACGCTTAGAACGCGGTTCCATCTAAACCTCATTTTGAACAACCCGTTTTGCTACCAGAATTTGACATTCCCCTACCCCAGCCCCCCCAAAAAAGATCTTTTGTGAGTGGCCTCTTTTTTTACTTTCGTTTTCACTTCCTTCTTTCTCCAGGCGCACTCAGCTCCCGATAAATCTCAGCAGATCACCTAGCCAGCGTTTCTGGGGAGATGGTGGCTGCTGGGCTGTGTTTTGCTAATCCCCTAACAGGACAGAAATGAAAGGATGTCAGGGCCAAACAGGAGCGGAGAAAAAGAGAGAAACGTGAAAGGGAGTGAGGAAATGGAGATGAGAGAGAGAGATGTTAGCAAGAAGCTAGAGAGAGGGGAGGAGAAGAGAGAGGGAAAGGCAGGGAGCGAAATGAACCCAATTTCTTTCTTTTCACAACCGGGTGGGCTGGGGTTCTCTCTAGCTGAACACCCGGAACTAAACTTAATTGTTCTTAGAAACTGCCTTCCTTTCACCCGACAGATGGCATGGGTATGTTTGCTAGTACAGTAACATATTTCACCATTGAAGTACCAAAAAGGAAAAAAAAAAAAATCAACATGCTTGTTGGTTGGTGTGAATTCCATGATTGGATATTTTGGGATACATGGCAGAGGGATGCACACTTAGTTTATGTAAATTGCAGCAAGCAACAGCCTGTTAATAAGGATGTTGTGTGGCAATATACCTCCAAAAGCCATCTTTTCTTTCTTTCTTTTTTTTTTTTTTTTTTTTTTTTTTTTTTGGAGAGGTACAGAATGATGAAGTGGAAAGAGCTCGGTTTTAATTCTGAGCCAGAAGTAGGAGGGGAAAAAAATTTCTAATAAAATGCTGATTATTTGCTGCTTGTTATTATAACAGGAAAAGTACTAATCAGATTATGCCAAAAGTTGGAATTAGGCACTTCGTTGGCAGCCAATTTCACAAGGGCAGGATTTTACTAAGTAAACCGGAATGTGCTGAAACCATGGCAATCTGACTGGAGATAAAAATCGCCAACGGGTTTAGAACATGAGCTTTGAACAAACAGTCCCCCTTTCAAATCCAAGTGCAACTGGCAAAACACCTTAGAGGTTACCTCTTGTTTGACACCAGCGTTAACAATGTAGGAAGTTGATGGCTGCCAGTGATCCTGTGTCCTTGAGCTCACAGGCAGAGCAAAGCAGAGAACGGAGGTGAAGATTCCAATAGCTCTGGTTTTCAGATGCATTTCAGCCTAAATGATCTAGTGAGTTCCCTCCCATTCTCCACTCCTTGTCCCAACAGACCCTTCACAAGCTCGACCTGCTATGGAAAGAAATCCCGCAAGCTGAAATGTGTATCAATCCTGAGTTTGTGGTTGGTTGTGCAGGCTACACGGAGCACAATACATTTTAGGTTCTCTGAGGCCGGGAATCTAAATGCACGCACTGCCCAAGAGCTGGAAGCATTTCTCTCGCCAGCTCTAGACAGCCTTGGCACCACGGCGTTGAGTTAACGTCTGCTTTTCGCCTTCAGGAGCTTTGTATTTAGTGGCTGTAACAGGAGGGCATGGTGAAGGAGTGGGTGCGTTTTACAGCCGTGGAATGGCCAACAGCATGGCGTGGAACCAGGCCACTGTGTCTGTGTCACCCTCACCTTAGCTCGTGGGAGCGCTGTCTTGCTTTTGCCTAAGCGTGGTCTAATTATGGGCAATCGGAGCTCTGTAAATCAGGACTCCAAGGGGCCGTCTTAAACTGTCCTACATGCTCTGTTTTCATCTGACCTGACATCTCTAAGCTACCGTTTCCTCACGCTGTTTAACTAGGACCACATTTGGAAGCCTTCCCTGCTTCCACGGGGTCGTAGGCCCACTTCCGTCTGGTTTAAATCTACTGTCCTGGCTTGTCTTGTTGATTAGACTTAGATTCAATATCAGCTCAAACCATTCTTTTTTTTTTTTTTTTTTTTTTTTGGTCACCATTTCAGTTTTGCTACTTTCCTAGATAAGGATTGCTGTGCACATGGCTGCATATTGTTAAAACTTTTCTTTTTAAACCACATTCATCAGCAGTGAGAAGCTTTAAAGTTTTATTAGTATCATAAAATCCCTTCCCAAATGAAACTACTTTTGATACGTGTTCATTCTGACAATGAGAATTAGTTGAGGGCTGTTGGCAAGTTGGAGGAATTTGTTTTTGAAACTGAAATAGGCAGGAAGTAATGACCTCAAAGTACTTTTCTTTCAACCCAACCCCCACACCCCCAATCACTCCTTTCCAGGCTCCCCTCACCTTCATCACCCCCAACTCAAAGCCAATCAATAACATGTTTGGTTTCATATAGGGTTGCCGAGGACAATTCAGACACGGAGGCAGGCTTTCCACCTTTCAGTTTTCCTTAACTGGAGCAAAGACTGTCAAATCAAAGGAAAAACATGTATATTTCCCTCCACTCCATGAAGGGGTTTCTCAGTGATATTACAGCCTTCCTTTTGAATAAGTTGGAGCTTTTTTGTAGCGTGGAATGTCAGTTTCCTCTGAGTGCCTTCCTAATTAAGTGTCAAGATTCAACTCCATTGCAAAAAAAAAAAATATTTTTTAAAAAGTGAGTAGAAAAGCATGAAGCATATGGAAAAAGAAAAACAATTTTTTGCTCCTAATGTGACTACACTGACAGATGAGATTGCCATTATCCATATTATCTAGCTTCTCATATTTATTTAATTATTTATTTTAAAAAAATTTTTAAATATATATTTTATTGATTTTTTACAGAGAGGAAGAGAGAGGGATAGAGAGTCAGAAACATCGATGAGAGAGAAACATTGACCAGCTGCCTCCTGCACACTCCCTACTGGGGACATGCCTGCAACCAAGGTACATGCCCTTGACCAGAATCGAACCTGGAACCTTTCAGTCCGCAGGCATATGCTCTATCCACTGAGCCAAAATGGTTTCGGCATAGCTTCTCATGTTTATTAAATGAGAAATAGCAGATAGAAGACCAAATAGCACATAGTAGAACTATGCCTGTACCAAGTAAATACTCAATAAATGCTACCTATTAATTAATTTACTTTTGCAATTGAGAAGTAATGTTAATGAGCAAAACGATACTACTATTTAGAAGTATGCTAGTATACACAACAGTGACCATCACTTATGTTCCAAGTCACCATGAATGAAGTCTGGAAATCAGTTTATCAGACCGGATGACTTATTTCAAATACCATTTACTAGTAGTTGGTAGACAGGAAAGTTGTAGATATAATGGTGCTCAGGCCTGAATCTACATAAGTTTCACAGACAGCTGGATTGTTTCTTCTCGATCAATATACTCAGGAGATTCATTTTTCTCAACACTTACAGAATGAAGCTCGATTAAGAATAGTAAAAACTCTTGAAGACTTTGAGCTGGGCCCAACCGAAAAGTGTGTGAGAATCAACGCAGTGTCCAGTGGCCTGGCTGAAGACGATCTGGAGGCCATCCTGCAGTCCCGGGTCCTTCCTTCCAGCATAATGCTACCCAAGGTGGAAGGTCCCGAGGAAATCCAGTGGGTGAGTAGCTAATGCTTTGCTTTAATCCAAGATCCAAGACTGGCTAAGAAGGAGTAGCAGAAAGGAAGCATTTGGGTGCTGCCAGGTTTGAAAATACATGCACAGAGCAGAAAGGGAATTCAGAAAAAGGAGTGAGCCCAAAGACCATATTCTTCACCCACAGAGAGCGTCCTGGCTTTACCCACGTGTCCTAACAGGATAACTCTACTCCTGAAATAATGCCTCTGCTCCCTTACCAGTGTGGACTGGACAGCACAGGGTCCTCAGTAGCCCTTACAGAACAGTCCTTGGAAACTACCGTGTTTCCCCCAAAATAAGACATCCTCCAAAAATAAGACCTAGCGCATGGAAAAATAAGACATCCCCTGAAAATAAGACCTAGCGCATCTTTGGGAGCAAAAACTAATATAAGACACTGTCTTATTTTCGGGGAAACAGGGTAGCTTGCCTGAGAATTGGATAGCTTCTTCCATCCTGCCAGGCCCCAACCCTCCACCTGGGAGAACAGGGCCGTAAGAGGGCCTTCCCGGGCCAGACTCGTTGGGAAACAGCATAGACAGAGACAGCACATGAGCCACAAATGAAAAAATGAACCTGGAGGAGGAGAGGTAAAGGTTACTCCTTAGGGCAAGCGGAGGAGTAAACAGGAAGCTTTTAACCAGTGGTTTTAATTAGCACAGATATTATTTCCTGAACAGTTCTCTAGTTCCTCCTTTTTAAATTGCTGACAGGTGTGTTTGTGTTTCACGACAGACTTTTCGGCCAATAAAAACCTGGCATGTCAAATTACTTAAGAAAACTTTGAAATGGGCCTAATTATACTATGATTGTTTTCATTGTTAAAATGGGGCGGGGGATAGGGGGGGGGGGATATTTTACTTAAGGGGTGCTATGATTCTGCAGATCTCTGCTGAATAAAATAACATTCCATTGTGCCACTCCAGGGCAGAGGGCCTGTGACACGTAAATGCTGAACGTGTGGTGAGGGCGTGTGGACAGTGGTGATTCTGATGCCACATCTGGGATTACTCTAAGGCTGCAGCGGCAACGGTAGCAAATACACTGCGTGGTTGTAACACCCGGGGAAACCGGTCACCTTTAGATGCACATCGATGCGTTGGGCCTGTGCTTTCCAAAGCCGTGGCTGCCTGCCACGTGTGGTACCCAGAACTTGAAATGTGGCAAGCCCAAATTGAGATGTCCTGGAAGTGTAAAGTACACCTGGGATTTTGAAGATTTTCGTAGTCCCCGGACCTCTTACATGTTGAAATGATAATGTTTAGGCCGCATTGGCTTTTCATGATGTTGATTGCTTCATTTTACTCTTTTAATGCAGCTTCTGTAGAATTCAGAATTGCACAGGCAGCTGCCATTACTCTTCAGCTGGACAGCTCCATGTTGGTGCTTCTGAGCCAGGTGTTCAAGGACTCCCTCCTCTTTACTCTCTGCCCTGGAGCTCTCCGCTCCAAGGTCAACTCTCAGAGGCGGGGAGATGCTGGTTACACTAGGTTAATATCGTCAAGGGCTTCTACCCTTGAAGGTGTCTTCCATTGATTGAAATGGAATCCAAAGTCACTGTTCCCTTTCGGTTTCATAGTTCATGTCTATTTATCACCGTTACTACCCTCGTTTGAGGAGAGAGGACCCACCCCAGCCTTCAGTCCCAGCCTCTGTTCCCTGTTTTAAATCCCTGGATGTGAGGAACGTACCGAAATCTAAATAGGATTTCTAGTTAACAGAAGTCTTTTTGGGCTGTTTATTTTTTCCTCTCCGTTTGTATTTATGTGAAGCATAAAATCCAGAGCCTGATGCACAACTGAAAGATGGGCTTCCTTGTTTTCTTTTGTGTGAGAATCTCTTGCTGGCCTTTTGTCGCTAGTGTGGGTTCTTGTTTGACTGGCACGGCTTATTGGACTATAACAAGCGTGACTCTGCCTCCTTTGTGGCGGGACAATTCTCCCACAAATCCCGAACAGTGCGCATTCTTCCAACACACTATTGGGTGTGCACTGGAATTGAAAGAATTGCTGAGCCTTGTACTTCATCTCCTCCCCAATCTCTTTGTGATTCTCCCCCTTCTTTTCCTTCCTCCGCCCCCCGCCCCTGCCCCCCGGTCCCTCCACCTCGCCGAAATGAACACTTTACCAGGCCGGAAACATTTAATTGTCTCCTTTTGAAAAAAATTAATTGAAACTTCTCCACTAGTTACCTTTTGTGTGCGTACTTAATGCAATTTTTTAAGAAAGAAGGGGAGGAGGGGAAGAAGGATGGGCTGGAATATTTAATTTTTAAATGCCCCTATTGGCTTTAAAAACAAAAGGCGTTGGAGATTTTTTTTTCTCACTGAGAACCGGGAATATATTGTAGAGTGTTTACCTAGTTTTAAACTTGATGGTGTTTATAATTATAACTATTATCACAAACCATGGGGCAAGTAACCTGGCAAGATTTTTTTTTTTATGAGAAAAAAGAACGCCCCCCCCCCCCACACACACACACACACTGGATCTGTAACACCAAAACCACCAATATGTCACTCCCTACTTTCTAGCTTAACTGGGACATAAATTATGTTTTATTTTCATTTACATGGAATACTATACGTTTTGTTCCCTTAAATGGTAGCCCTCTCTTCTTTCTTGCTATTTCGGCTGAGTTATTCCTTCCCTTGCAAAGTTACTAAGGAGGTGATGATGATGGTGACGGAGGAAGGGAGGGGGCAGTGGGAGCAACTGGGAATAATTCTTCATTACTGAAAGCTGTGATTTATTTTAGCCTAATTGTAAAGTTACTGCAAATTGCTCAAAAGCTTTTTAAAGATCCCAGTGATTAGATTTTTTTAGGGGGAGGAGGGTGCCGCACAGGCAAGGAGGGGGCAGCTAAAAGGGGAAATAACACCTCTAATCCTGCTTCGGGTAAATAGGCTGCCAGCTTTTAAAATGAGTTTCCTTTCTATTAGTCAGAATATTATGCTAAGCCTTAAGCATTAGTTTTTTTATGTTGCCATAGCAGCCCTATTCCTGCAGGGTGGTGACCTGCGATGATTACAGTACAAAGCTTATAGGGTCTTGAAACCCCCTTTGAAGATGAAAAGTCTTTGATGGTTTATATTTATGCAAATCTCTTAGATATGATTTACCCAACTGAGACTGAATGGAGAGATGATTAAAATTCCCTTTTCCTTTGATATCCATTAATGGATGAATATTCCTTAAATTTAAAATGGATATATATGTTTTCATCTTTATTTACAAAAATATCTTTGTCATACCTGTGTGTGTTTTTTTTTTTGTGTGTGTGTATGTTTTTAATCTTCCCACATCTTATTAGATCTAGATAGACATAATAGATTTACAATTTAGAGTGTGGTGAGGTTTTGGGTTGGGTTTTTTTTTTTTTTTTTCCTTTTGAAAGGGGGGGTGGTGTCTGTGCAAGAGCTTTTGTATGTTTCCAGATGATAGATTTTGGAATTTGGGCTACCCCACTGGCAGCACAGAGCTAGCTGTGAACTGGTCTCATGGAAAAAATTGGTGAGCTTTGGTCTTCAAAGAATTAAACTTCCTTTTTAAGGTCTTCCTAGGTAAGCTAAAAAATTATGAAGAAAACCCTCTTGCACAAAGGGTAATGGTACGATAATGAATAATGCGGATTCCACGTAGAAGGCCGAGCAGTCACACTGATGTCAGTGCTGGGTATGAAACAAAAACAGAATGGCAGGTAGGGCAGGCGCATTGTTTTAGGGGCCCACCACTTGCATTGAAAAAGTGAGGGTGAGAGGTCTTAACTAAGCATGTTTTTAAGGGAAGCATTTAAACTCAAGATTCTCTCCTTCCAGTTCTATATCCTAGGCCTCAAATTTCTCCTTTAGAGAGAGAGGGAGAGGGGAAAAAAAAAAAAAAAAAAGATTAATGCTTGGGGTTTTACTATTTAGTTTGGTGGGAACTTTGTTACCTTTTTTCCTTTGGTCTTTCCTCTTTTCTCTTTTCTTTTTTTTAAATTCTTTTGTGTGGACGAAAGAGGCTGGGATATTACTTCCTCTGGTCAAAGACTTAAATACTACTTCTGTGTCTACACTTCAGTGGTTATACATTTTCCCCTCACTAATTACCTATGACAATTTTGATTTTAGTTTTCAGACAAATTTTCATTCTACTTAAAAGGCCGAAAACTTGAACAACCTATGAATTTAATCCCTTTTGTGGAAACTGCAATGGGTTTGCTCAATTTTAAGGTAAGAAAACCTTAATGTGGCTTAGAAGTTAATATTTTATTACCTAAAGAGAACTCTTCTTTTCAATATTAACTTAAAATATTTTTCTGAAAAAATTTATAAGCAAAGTAAATCTTGAGCACAATTTATTTATTTGTAATTATCCAAAACCAGGTTGTGAGCATCTTAGAAAAGAAAGAAATGGACTAAGTAGTAAGGAAGAACTTCCCAGTCCTAAATATTTAAACTGTAGATTCCTAGCAATAATTTTAATTTAATCATCAATATGTAAAACATGTGCTTTGAATTATTATGTTTATAGATTAAATGTACATGAAAATTTATTTTGTCACCCCTATGAATTAACTTTCAATTATTCTCTTGTAGCAACCGTCTTTCATTGGGAAACTTTCTGGTCTCTGTAGCAACGTCATCCATAAAGTCCAGTTGATAACAATTACTATTTGCTAGTTAGTATATGCCAATAATTTGTGGTATAATATTTCAGTTTACCACATTAGAACAGAAACTCTTTCCTAATATATACCAGGAAGATTATCTTACCCACGTGCTTTCCAACATTTCTAGGTTGCATCAAGCTGTTTGCCTTAACAAATTAATAGCTAGCTTGTAAAAAAAAAAAATCCCTTTACTGATTGTCATTTAAATTGTTTTCCAAAATATGCCTCACATTACACCTGACCTGTGAACATCAGTGTAGCACTCTATCCCAGAGGGCACAAGAGAAGAAATTCCTAAAAACAAAACAAAATAAAAAGATAGTTGAGCTGTAACTGGAGAGGTAATATGTGAGCAAACGCTCTGAGAGGAAACTCTGAGACCTACTGGACCATGCAGGAGGGGCAAAGTGCAAATGTTTGCGAGCTACTTCACAAGTGTTTACACCACTAACCACACATTCCTCCAAGCTTGCCCTAGATTTCTGGGAATATAATCAAAGCATATCTTTTAGATGCAGCTATATTCCTATAACAATTTAATTTTTAGCACTGTTTTGCCATTTTATTCCATAACATACCGAGAAGCATTTACAACCCCTGAAATTAATCAGCAGAGTCCTCACGGGTGTCTCATGTCATCCCCACCCACGTGTATTAGCATGAACCTTTGTCGCTTCACAGTTCTGTCTGCAACGAATGTCATTTATCTTTATTTCACATAGAAATATCAAAGTTGCTTATTAATACATCTTGGGTGACTTGTTGCATTTTTGTTTTCCCCTCTGGCATTGTAGGTTTTTGTATTGTGTGTCTTTAATCCTAAAACCACTTACTAAGAAATCTTGATCCTGATGCAAATAATCCAATTAGTTTGATTTAAAAAATTCTTTCCTTCTTTCCTGTGGCTTTCTGTGTATGGTTTGAGTCTCTCTTAAAGCAAAAACAAATTTTGGGAAAACATAAATTACTTATAGCACAACCGAACTGAGTTAACTCCAAGTTCTTCTAGAAACTGGATGAACTACAATTCAAACATTGTAACTATATTAACGTACGTTAATGGATATATGAATATACTCCATTAAAGCAAAGCCAATGTATACAGCATTATCTATCTTGAACAATGTTCAATGCCTTTCGAAAGGGGTGACTTGGGGCTGCATTTTTAGGACGGCTTTCAGACAACCTGTTTTGTATTCAAAGCTGGATCTTTCTGGTACTGAATCTATAGCATGCTGCTTCTCTCTCCGCCGTGTGTTTCTGTGAGACGCTCTGCTCTGCTCTTTTACAGGCAGTGTGCAAAGAAGCCGTGAAGGCCGGGCCTCCAGTGGGCCTTTTCCTAGATGCTGTCGTTTTCGGAGGAGAAGACTTTCGAGCCAGCATAGGTGTCAAAGACTCATTTCTCTCTCATTCTTTCTGTGTACACATGTATACTTTTTATTCCCCCCCCTTGGGCCCCTCCACAAACGGACATTTACATGACAATATATTTGCCAACCGTGACAATGGTTTTCAGCTGAAGGGACAGCACTTCCCGATAATTTAGGACATCTCACCATTGTCCTGCTTTCAGAACACAGCACCATTATGTCTATTCACTTATAAAGTAACTTGCACAAAGGCTGCTGCAGCCTCACACGTGTTCGAGAAGGGACAGCGTCTACTTTGTTCATAATAAGTATTACGTGAACATCCTCTCTGTTGCTTAAATATTTTGTTTTCATCTCAGTGTAAAGGGGATTGAGGCCCCTACCACAAATTTAAAGCAATTTCACATATGCTCTACTGAGTAATTTTCTTTATTAAATGTAGTATGTAAATATTATTTAAAATAGATTTTAAATACCTCCTCGAGTCTGTTTCAGAACTCTTGTTATTAAATACTCATTGAGATAGCGTGCCTGCCTGTTCTCACTGGTCCTCCCCGTCCCTTGGGCACGATGCCCCTGGTCGGGGTGCTTGTGCCACCAGAGACGGTGCCTCTGGAAAAGGAGCCCAGGTCACAGGCGTTTCAGAACCACAGTCCCAAGTGACCCGAGACAGAGGCTTCCCGAGGAAATGTAAACACACGCCCTCCCACCCCCGGGGTGAAAACACAAGGAACTTATTTTCATACCAGTCTTCCCGGGGGACTTTCTGCCCCTCTCAAAGCGAGTGCCCTTCCATTTCTCTCAAGTTCTCCATCCAACCCCCGAAGTACCTGGCTCAGAACCTCAGTGATAACAGGGCGTGGCAACCACAGCCTGTGAAACCCTGGGCTCAGCGAGAGAACTTAACCATTTCCTCACACAGCCCTTTGGCCACCTTTTGCGGTGCTACCTTTGGACCGACAATTTCCAAGGGATGGCAAAAGGGAAACATGCATGTCAGAAGTCATTTGTGACCGCCCTACCAAGTCATTCATGATTCTGGCTCTTGGGAGGGGGGAGAGGCCCCTTCTTCGTGCACACAGTCATTCCCCTGAAAGATACCTTGCAAGAGGGACCCATGAGGTTTAACTCTGCCTCCACACATCCCTCTTCATTTATATTGAATCATCGCCTCCCTAGGCCACAAGGCCAAGGAGGACCCAGACACCCTTACGTCCTGAGTTTTTACAGGGGTAAAAACTTGTATGGGTTCGGTTTCCAAAGTTAACCTCTCTCCTTTTTTCTGCCAACATCCCATTTTCAGGTGCAACAAGTAGTAAAGAAGCCCACGATATTCTCTACGCCCGACAAAAGATCGTTGTCGTGGCGAAGGCCTTTGGTCTCCAGGCCGTAGACCTGGTGTACATCGACTTCCGAGACCAAGAGGGGCTTCTGAGGCAGGCGAGAGAAGGAGCGGCAATGGGATTTACGGGTATGGTCCTCGGTGGTATCTTGAACAGCATTGTCTAGATTTCCGAACGTTCCAGAAATCAGTGTTCCTTAAGGTGGCCAGGTAGTTCACATACCTATTCTATTATCTGAAACATGAAAAAAAGCCATCCAGGGCAAGAACCCGCCCAACAAATGGTCAGGTTTTACTTTGGCTCTGCCAGTCAACAAGCAAATCACTCAATTTATTTTCTCGTTAGAATAGTGACCTTTTTTTTTTTTTCTGTTAAGTATTTTGTTGCAGCTTTTCCTGACACGAGGGGAGGGATGAGGCTGTCGTAAAAGTATTTTTGGGTGAACTGCCTTAAACCTGTTAACCGGGGAGTTCCCTTTTTAATGACACAACCTGTAACAGGCGTGTACTCTTTCACTAGGACGTGTCAGTACGTCATGCCCGGAGGACGTAATTTCATATTATTTTTTTTTTATTTATACTTAATGAAAATAAATGAAATATATATATATATATATTTCATTTATTTATATATATAAAGCACAAAGGAAAATACAAAATTACAAAAAAAAATAGAAAAGAATACCGACAAAAAAAAATGGACACGTCGAATTAAAAAATTATAAATTTTACAAACAATGATAAAAATTACAAAAAATAGCCAAAACCGGTTTGGCTCAGTGGATAGAGCGTCGGCCTTCGACCTAAAGGTCCCGGGTTCAATTCCGGTCAAGGGCATGTACCTTGGTTGCTGGCACATCCCCAGTGGGGGGTGTGCAAGAGGCAGCTGATCGATGTTTCTCTCTCATCTCATCGATATTTCTAACTCTCTCTCCCTCCCCTTCCTTCCTCTCTGTAAAAAATCAATAAAATATATTTTTTTAAAAAGATTACAAAAAATATATACCGTCCCTCTTGGGGTGCAACATATATTTCAAGGACGTATTCATACGTCCTACCCGTTCCCGATATTGTTTACGTTTGACGTATTTATAGGTTCCGCTCGGTTAACAGGTTAAGAGTTTGTGTTGATGGGTTGAAGAAAATTTTTCTTCAGCAGTCCAAATATTAATGAATTTCATAAAAAAAAGATTGGTGATATATTTTTTATTTTTTTTTCCATTCAAAACTAGGTTTTTATTCATCTGCCACTCCAAGCCCCTTCTTTCTCTCCCACCTCCCGATATGTGTCTGTGCACCTGGCAACACCTACGGGCATTGGCTGGCACTGCGCTCAGCGGGTCCCTCACAATCCGGTCCTGGAGCGCAGGCGGATATCTGTTGATTGGTGTGCCTAGTCACTCAGGCCCCAGGAGCCCAGGGAGCAACCGAAAATTGTGTTTTTGCAACAGAAATCTTTTTTTTTTTTTTTTTTTTTTTTTAAGAAACCACAATAGACTTCTACACCCAAACACATTCTGCAATTGCATACACACGCATGTGCAACCATGGATTAAAAAAAAACCCACTCAAATCTTTTATTCTTATCTGTCCTTCTGCTGCACATTCTAGAAACATCATGCTCAGAATTGTATCCAAATAATAAGGACAAAGATAAGCACCCATGCTATCCCTTTGGTAAATGTTTTTGAAATGTGTCCAGTTAGGGGTTACTAACGAAACATGTCTTAAGGTGACTTTAAATGCACAAGATACCTAAATGGATGATGATTTAGCCCAAAGTAAAATTCAAGGCTTAAGAAGCCATCTTAAGTGGTTTATTAGAATTAAATAAAGCTTTGGCATTTGATTTTTGTGTTTTTAACATAGAGAGTTCAAATGGGACCCCCGCAAATTTGTAAATAAATAAATAAGTAAATACCTGCAATCTCTCACAGGGAAATATTCTCCGATCATCTGAGCTATTAACAAATCCTCCTTACATTTAATAGTGACTGAGGAAGAAAGAGAGTGCCCTGCCCTGGTCGGGGGCTGTCCTTCTCCCGCTGGCCTGCACACCAGTCTTTTCCTGACGACTGGTTAGGACATGGCCCAAATGGAGAAGCTGGAGAAAAACTCCATGAAATCTATCTAATAGACCCCAATGTTGTTGGTCTAAAATGCGCGGCCTTGGCTGCCAAGCAGCCAGATGTTGCTCTGAAATGAGCACTAATGCAATCAGAAACAGAAAACGCTGGATCTGACGCGGGCCTCTGTCACCCTCACTCAGTATACCCGGGGTGTCCTCCGTCTCCTCTGGGGTAAATGTTTGCTCTGGAACTTACAAAGGAGTTCGAGGGTTTCTCCAAGATACAGGACTGCATTAAATTGGCCCCTAATTCAATCGCAGAAGACACGTTATTTCAAATCAGATTTAAATTTCTAGACTGTGCCCAACTCAGCATGAGGAGCTTATGGGCTTGGCACTATTGTTTCTCAACAACAGGGAGTATTAAATCACACAAAAATGGAATGGGGGGATGGGGAGGCACAGAGGGTACAGTGCCCATTATAGATTCAAGCAAACAAGTCAGTAAAGTAGGGAGCTACACTTTATGGCCATTTTGCAATTTTCAGAAAGAAGGTCTTTGTTGTCCCAACTATATTTCTACATGCCAATAAGAGGTAATTAGTCTTATAAGATATGAGATTATTTGTAGTATTTTAAAACAATAAATGATTTAATAAGTATTTTAGGCCACTTGTAATCTGTTTGTCCTAATTATTTATCATTTAATTCCATACCTTGCACTTTGCACAAGAAGGAAGGAGAGTAATGAAAAAAGGAAGGAAGGAAGGAAGGAAGGAAGGAAGGAAGGAAGGAAGGAAGGAAGGAAGGAAGGAAGGAAGGAAGGAAGGAAGAAGACACACGTCCTGTCTGAAGCAGGTGGTTGAAAGTTTAAAATTCAATGAAAGTATTGTGTTATCCATAACACTGATAAGAAACACCCCGTCTATGTAATTGGAATTTTCTGTACTTTAAAAAATTACATATATTTTTAATGAGTTGTGATTTTTTTAAAGTTAACCACGCATGAAACACTGGGTTGTAGTTTCTTTTCTGTAGTCTGTTTCACAGAGACACAACCCATGTAAGCAGATTTTAAATCAATGCATTGGCTGTATAAAATAGCTGTTAACTTTAGGTATTATTTTTATAAAAATAAACCTTAGAATAAAGCTCTAAGAGCTGACTCCAGTACTACATGCTGAGAAGAAAGATTATAAATATGAAACTCTAGAGGTTTTCCTCTTTTTTGCAGTCTTTTATAGAAGACAAAAATGACAGCATCATACAGTTACCTAAAAGACTTGACAGGTATTGATTTAAAGCATGATATATCAAGTGGTACTGTAAAAAGGATTTCATGGTCATAAATTTTAATGTCTTCCAGTTTCGCACCCTCTCAGTAACTTGTCAATAACAACTCTTCTGTATAAAATATTTGCTTTGCTCCCACATGGCATTAAAGTCCGATATTCAGTTGTTGGGGTATTCAAGATTCAACAAAAGATAACTTCACAAATGAATGTTCATAAATTTCTAAAACCTAACGCATATCTTAAAATTAGCCTCATTACCAGAATATGGGTAGTTGCAAGCCATCAGTAGTTTTACTGTATTTTAAATAGTTTGTGTCTTGCTCCTCAAATTATCATGTCTGTACTATGAAGTTCCCATGAAATTTATGTACATAAATTATAAAATTCAGGACCAACAATTAGTACAAAATGACTACCAGAACTGACATCCTTTAGTAATAATATTGTAACAACTATTAGATTATTTAAATATAATTTTAGTACCTACTATTGAAAAAAGCTCTCATTTGTCATCATTGATGTTATTTGTTCCCAGAAATTATTCCTCAAATAATTTAAAGCAGCTTTAGTTATATAGTGTTTTAATGTTTTATTAATATGCTGACAGATTAAAAATGAAATAGCAATGTGAGGATGTTTTAATTATGCCATTGTAAGAAAAGATATCATTGTATTTATTCACGGAGACTCACAAATACAAAAAAAATTTTTACAAACATTTCTTTTTCTGTTCGATAGAATAATGGCAGTAACAGGAATTCACCTTTTTTAAAACATCAATGATATACTGTAATTTCTAATGATTAAGTGTTAAACATTATTTCAAAAGCAAAGCAAATTAATATACCAACAAATATACTTAGCAAAGTAAGTTATCACTAAGTGTACATTCATTTTAAAGAACCAAATACGTCCATAATTTTATTATGTAATAAAATATAACCTCAACATTATTATAACATTAAATTATGTTTCATTTTATTAATGACCTGATTAGATTCCATTCTTCCCTGATTGCTAAACTGTTTCGTTTTAATGACTGCCTGATTTCCTAGAATCCTGTGACTCTTATCTTTATATCATGTTTTTATTTAAGATCCTTAAACTTCAAAAAAAAAGATATTACTACAAAGATAAGATTTCATCTGGGTGTCTAAGTATATATATAAAAGGGAAACAAAATCTTCATTCTATAAGAAAAAAGAGAAAATCTGGTTATGTTTTTAGGTCAAGAATCTTTCTGTAATTTTTATTTAAACATTTTTAAATGGAGTAATTTAGGGACCACACTGTTTAAATCTGTCTTCTACTTTATTGTACTGAATAAAGTTTTCTCATTGAAATCTAAATTTCTACTAGTGGTTAGAAATGACATATCATACCTAAAGAGGAAAAAAATAAATTATTATTGTAAGACACTATTTGATATTAATATAGTTGTAACACCTGCTTCTGAAGCTTTATGAAAACCAACAGAAATCGTGGACGGCAGGGTAACGGTGCCAAATAAGCCAAAGACAACTTATAAAATTAGAAAGAATTAACATAAAATTTTTCTTCTTTACTTCAAAATGATCACTCTAATTTGCAGACATTATCCTTTAAAGTCCCAGCCAAAGCAGTTATTCAACGAGCTGCTTAGTCAGTCCACCTGTAGCTAAAACTGAGAGATTATCTGCACCAAGGTGGCATTTCTATAGGATCGGAAACACAATTACTCCCATTGTTGTGTTTGTTCTGATGTGGTGTTCTGGAGAAGCCTGCCCAGTTACTGTTGTTTTCTTTTTAAATGTGCTAAAATAATGAGTTATTTTACAGACAGTCTGTGAGGCATTCAGGAGCCTCTCCGGGTTAAGACGTCTACTTGTTTTGTGTTCCCGGTGTAACTGTTAATCCTCTTGTAGGTAAGCAGGTGATACACCCTAACCAAATTGCAGCCGTCCAGGAGCAGTTTTCTCCTTCCCCTGGAAAAATTAAGTGGGCTGAAGAACTGATCGCCGCCTTTCAAGAGCATCAGCAATTAGGAAAGGTAAATGTTTTATTAATGACTTGGATGAAACCGGTGTTTACAGTACTGTGGGGAGGAGGGGGGGGGGAATCATCGTTTGGATGATTTTGGTGGAGAGGGTTGGAACTGGGGGGACAATATTCATCAGTGAGAAATTCGCCTAAGGTAAATTTGCCCTGCCATGTTTCAAAATATTTCACCAACTGGCTCTCACATCTCTCTCTTTTTTTTTCTTCTTTTCTTTTCATAAGCTATGTTGGCAGCCTTTGAGAAAAGGGAGGAAGTCTGTTTAGTTTTTCTCTATAGACTCTGATGCAGCTGTCATATGAAAATAGTTTTAGATCAAAGTGAGAGCAAGTTATAATGAAATAAGCACAGTTTGATCAAATGGTTCTCGTGGAGAGAAATAAATTTCAAGTTACTTTAACATCGGGGCAGAAAAGTACAAAATCTCCTCCGGTTTAGTCATAGAAGAGTGGGAGGCTGTCCATGTACTTGTACCAATTCCTGGACCTGAGATTTGGATAGAATGAAAAGCAAATTAACACTGGAGCACGGTTGTTCCTAATTTAGTGCATCATTGAGCCTCGCGTTTCCTGCGCTGTGGGTTTCTGCTATGTAAATATTGCAGTGGTGATGCGCAATCTGTCTCCACTTTGTGCCAGTAACACTTAAATTAGGTGTCGCCTGAAGGAAGGTTTTATGCTACTTGCAGCATTGTCAGTTAATTATCTTAAAGGTTATTTGCAATAATACCGAGTACCTCCCCTTAAGAGGGTGGGGGTGGGGGGGGCGAGGGGAAGGTTGTATTTACAAAACTGTCCTAGAGGTAATATCTAAATGCGCCCTTGTTACTTACATAAAGAGTGGGGGTTTGATATCTCCAAGGCAAAAGTACATAAAACCATTATTAAGGTTCTAAAGGTTAAATAGTCCCTGTTACAAAAAAACAAACAAAAACTAACTGATGACATCAGTATAAGTGTCACTTGCACTTTCCACTGGCAATGAAAACACCTGAAAATCCCAGGACTTGGGAGAGTAAGGAACAATATTAAGTGGGTCACTGCCTCCCTCCCTCCCTCTCACTATGGACACCTGCCTTCACTTCCAACCAGGCACGCATGCTCATCCTCACACACCCACAAGATCATCTTTGTACAAGTTTGCACTTAAAATCAAAAGACACGTCATGTGATAACGGTACTATCCCATTTGGACATAGACTACTTTCAGGAAAAATAGCATCCATCCTCTCATTTCAAATCAGTAATGACCATTGGAAGAACATTGCCATTCATAGAAAAATATTCTTGACATCGTGTTTTATGTTCACTTCTCTACCTTGACCCGAAAACCAGTATCCTGAAACATATATATTTATCCAGAGAGAAGAGCCATGTACTTTTTCATTCATACATGCAAATAACGCCGTCCACTCTCCTCTTCCCCATGCTTGCCTGCACACACACTCCCCCTTACTATCCTACACCTCTGTGTGCACCTTATGGCAGCGGGGGACAGGCGTGTGAGGAATACTTCCAACTGAAATAATCAACTGAGGCAGGATGGGGGTCCCCAAAACAGCAGACCAGGCAGTGTTCCAGTCTGGTTTCATGTTGGATAACATCAAAGGATGCCACTTGGCATTGTAAGCAGCTCGGGCTTGGGAGAAGTGCCCCTAAATTTCAGGTAGCCAGCAAACAACATTCCGGCATCTAAGTTCTCGGATGAAGAAAAACACAGCACTTTTCCATTGTATCTTAAAAAGTGTTGTTCCCAGGGAAAAATCGTCTCAGGGTGATGATGGCAACTTAAATGTTAAATTCTGAACTTAAATAAATAAATAAGAAATGCCCTCTTGTTGGGGCATAAGCTTTCACAACAGTGTGGCAGCTTTTGCTAACACAGACGGGTAGAGATTGGAGCAGAAGGGAGACCAACTATTAGGTCATTTCTTCCCTGCCCCATTCGTGTAGGTTTGTTTCCGACAGCAAATTCTCGTGGTGCTTTGTCCAGCAAGGTTTAAGTGATTCCAGTAATGGGGCTTCCAGTGGGGACACACGGTTGTTTTATCCAGTTCCCATGTTTCTTTCACTTTGCCTATCAATTGGCTGGCCACAAAAATAGGGTCTGCAGGCAGGTAACGCCAGGTCTTGAGAGGTCTTGGGGTTTAAATAATGTGGGTTCTGTTTGTGGAGATTTAGTATAAATAGGTTGCTCAGTTGTAGGAAGTAGTTCTTCCAACAAACATCTAATCTGTTGTATTTCAAATGTGAATCACTGATGAAAACACACACCCTCGGTTACTTTGTCCAAAGCACAGGTGACTGTCAGTGAGGGGAAGCTGATGGTTGGGTTCCAGTGAGACACTTACAAATTTCAGAAAGATCTTTATTCCCCCCTCTGATGAAAAACTTCATTCAAGAGATGTTTATAAGTAGAAATGACCCAAGAAAGCAAAATTACATGTCTTTACTTTTCTCTACTTCCTGCTCCTATCTTAAATTATATTATTCCCTAAGAACAAAGGTATAGCTGAAGTTTACAGTTAATGCTGGGTAATTGTGTCTTCTACAGTAATAATAATAATTATTATTACATAGCTATCATTATTATTCAAAAATAAATTCAAAAAAAATTTTCCCTTTCCTCCCCCAATAACAAAATTCATGAGAATACTTAGGTCATGAGTAGATAAATTATTGGAGTTCAATCTCTGGTATCACATGAATTTTCTTGTTTTATTTTAATTAGAAGTTCTAAGGAAAGCAAGTTTGAGGTCCTTAGTATAATGTCAGATGAAAATACTTTACATTAAAAAATAATAATCTGTCACTGTTTGGCAGGTAATGATACTTGTGACTACTTTAAGAATTTGCCTGGTACACCAGTTCCCACTAATAAGAATTAGGTTACCAGTTGACATTAAGGACTGAGGTCCTCTTTTTCTATTAAATCTGTTAGAAAATGTCTAAACATTCCACATACTCTATGCCCCTATTTTAATTCCCATAAGCTAAATTATTTCTAATTTAGCTGATATCAGTTGGGAGGTATATATCCATAATGTTAATCAACCTTGATTCTTTCTTTTATCCTTCCAGAAAAATATATTCTGAGATGCAAGCTTCATGTGATTAATTATTTTAGCTTTGAATTACTTAATAAAATATTTTGGCCAGGATAAGTTACTTCCATTAATTTGTTTTAAATTTATAAAGGGTTTTTGAAAGTTAATTTCATTTTTATGTCATTTTTTCATAATTATATTATTCCATAATATTTGAAAATTCTCCATCAACTAAATTTAGTATTGCCTATTTGAAAATATGATTTTAACAGTTTTTTTATCGACTAAGAATTGTATGTAGTATGAAAAGTAGATCATTAAAATGAAAATATCTCAAGTAAATAATTAGTTGATATTAGTTGATATCAGTGGAAACTATAATTTGTTTATAAATACATATATGTAACATGTATTTATACTACATATACATTCATGTATACCATGTCTATATGATAAAGTCAGTGATAATTTTTTTCTGTTTCTATATTCATCATTTCTTGGACAAAATTGACAGCTAAAGGAAGTAGTTGTTTTTTAAAAATTGATTGATAATCCCAAGAAATCTTAATACAAGAATTTACCACTTATTTCCAAATAGAGGCTCTAACAGAAAAATGTTAAAGAATAGCAAAATGTAGCACATGAGACCAATTCTTAAAGGTACTTTGCTAGAATATTCCTATTTCTGCAGTATCTGCCTATAAATGTGGCTCTGCTTCATTTCCAGTTTTCCAAGCACCCTGGTTTATTGCTATTATTGCCATAAATGCTTTATTTTATTTTGGGAGGATTTCATTTAACTTTTTCAAGATTTTTCGTTTGTTACAGCTTTGCAAGAAGGTTCACCTTTAAAATCTAGGTTCAATTAACAGCGTAAAGGTCAAAAACAAGGTCACTATATAACATAATAACTATAAATAACACACATAACTGAAGCATTCTAATTTCACTAGAGCAAGCAATAAGGCAAATTAATAAGTCTGTGTTCAGAAGCAAATCCTCTACTGGAATATAAATTAGGAACTTATATCTTAATTAAAAAAAAAAAAAAGAAAAAGGGTTTTTTTTCCCCTCATGTAAGTTTTTCACCTAGAAAATTACAAGGAATACCCCCCACACCAATACACATGATTTTCTTAGGTATCTGATTGCAGCCCGCACACCTTTCATTTGTGTTTCCAAATGCAGAGCTTTACAAAAGAAATACTGTTTGGTCCAGATGGCCTTCTAGAAGGCTCCCTGAGAGAACTCAGAAGTCTCTCTAGCCAAAAATATTGTTTCCGCTTATTCAAGTGCCAGAAATCCCACTGCCACTCTTTCACGCAGATCAAATAAACCATCTACAGATTCGGTTGTTGTCTTTGTCAACTGAAAGGGTTGATTCCACTAATAGACAACAATGTACCCTCCCACACCCCTGCGTCCCACCACCCACAGCCTTCCCCTCTTTATTTGGAAGCAGGAATACTAAAATCCAAATGGCGTGATTTCCTGTGAAAACGAAAGGTGAAGAGACATAACTCTATCTTCGAGATTCTTACTCATGCGCGTCCCCCTTTAATTCTTATTCACTTAATATTTTTAGGACTATATGCCATAATTTAGACTTGAAAGATTCAAAATCTCAGACAAGCTGAGGGTCTGCCAATGCTGACTTTCAGGTTAATTTGATTAACAGCAAATTTTGCAGCAATGTGACACAACTCCAGGGTAGATCACATCCTATTTCACATAATTTTAGTGACAAACGGCTGGTTCCATAGTAGAGGATAAGATATTTCGTGTGTAGGTTAAATCTGATAACTTACAAAGCTGTTTGCTTCATCCTTAATGTAGAGCACATTCTTAAGTATATTTTTAATCAAAATAATTTTATGCTTGTTTATACTTTTCAGGATTTTTTTTCCCCACTCAGCTTCCATGAAAAAGAGTAATTTTTTTTTTTTTT